ATTTTTTGAGGGGTGAGAGGATGGGAGCAGAGAATGTACGTGTGGCCAGTAAAAGTATGTCTATATAGCACAGTTACCCTCAGACTCTGGTGTAAGCCCAAGCCCCCTATAATCTACACACAAATCAGGCTGATTAAAACCAGAAAGCACTCAAGACTTGGGCCTGCAGTCCCACTGCAACTCAAATTTTGCAGTTTCAACATAGCTCAAGTAACTGACGCAAGATGAAAGGTCTATATGTAGTACTATATGAACACATTTGCCTGGCTGTGAGATCTGTCCAGTAAATGTAAACCCAGGTTTACAATTCAGTGTAGACACCCAACTATAGGCTTAGAAACACAATCCATAAACACGGGCCCAGCAGTCTCAGTTTACAATGCAGCACAGAGTAGGGACTGAACAAATAACCCTACTGGTGATGCTTACCAGTTAACTGGCACCTACATCTGCAGCCCTACATCTGCAGTCCACTGCACCGTGGGGAGTGGGATCCAGATACCCCATGCAGCAGGGTTGGAGGGCTAGGAGCAGAAACCGGCAGCTCTGCCAGCTGAAACAGCCCCCCTCGTGATCTCGGATAACAGGTTACACCTAAGGTTTAACCAGTTAACTGATTAATAGGGATTTTACATCCCTGGAACAGACATACTCTTAACACGGGGGTAGGAAACATTTTTTGGGTCAGGAGCCAGTGACCCACAGAGAAATCAGTCAGGAGCCACACACAAGTGAAAAGAAAAAAAAAAAAAAACCTCTCACAGATGTGGTGTCCAACTCAGAAAGACATTCCCCACCTTCCCCCTCGCACACCTGATCTTAGACAGGCCCAGGTGGCAGATTATTAAAGGTCGCCTGCGATATGTGAAGATTCCAATCTTAACCCCTATAATATCCGTAAGAGAAAGTAAGCCACAAAGTAAACTGCATAGAGACTGAACAATTTTCTTAGCCTATCATTGATGTTATATTAATTTTGTGATTTTATTACTGATTGTGCTCATGCAATAATTTGATTAATTAGAATCATAGGGTTGGAAAAGACTTCAGGAGGCCATCAAGTCTAACCCTCGGCTAAAAGCAGGACCAATACTAACTAAATTAACCCAGTCAGGGCTTTGTCAAGCTGAGACTTAAAAACCTCTAGGGATGGAGATTCCACCACCTCACTAGGTAACCCATTCCAGTGCTCCACCACCCTCCGACTGAAATAGTTTTTCCTAATATCCAACGAAGACCTCCCCCACTGCAACTTGAGGCCACTGCTCCCTGCTCTGCCATCCGTGACTACTGAAAACAGCCTCTCTCCATCCTCTTTGGAAACCCTCTTCAGGTAGTTGAAGGCTGCTATCAAATCCCTTCACTCTTCTCTTCTGTAGACTAAATAAGCCCAAATCCCTCAGCCTCTCTCCCTAAGCCATGTGCTCCAGCCCCCTAATATTTTTGCTAGCCTCTGCTAGACTATCTCCAGTGTGTACACAACCTTTCCGTAAGGAGAAGGAGGGCAGAGATGGACATACTACTTGAGATGTGGCCTCACCAGTGCCAAATAAAGGGAATAATCACTTCTCTAGATCTGCTGGAAAGGCACCTATTAATGCAACTGTTGTTCTTAAATTGTTTTCTTTTTAATTAAAGAATTTTAATTTGTATTATGGTTAACACCTTAATATGAATAATTTGATTTAATATCTTTCTCATATTATTTAGTGCTTTAGAGAGATATAATAAATAAGGAACTATAAAGTTAATGTTTTTGAATAAAAGTAAAAAAAAAAAAAAACCATGAAATTGATTTTCTCTGATCAAATGGTAATTAGGTAAAAGCAACCTTAAAGGAACTTTAAGTAAACATTATTAAAAACATTTGGCTCAGGTCCTCAAAAGCCCATTATTACTACACAGAGAATGTGGGTTCTCTGTATCATATATCTGGGTCTCAAAACTTTATCAATTGTTCTTTCCAAAATATAATTTGGCTATTCTTTCTTCTCTTGAGTAACAATGTGTTACTTATGTCTCTCCTCTATGGGTTAGATACCATATACCCCAAAATACACGTCCCCTCATTAAAAGGTTCCTGAAAGGTTTTCAAAACTTAGTCTCTGCTTTTGTTGCATTCAATTGGTGAATAAAGTTAGCCATAAAACCTTATAACCTGCTTACTTTTCTCTTTGTATAAGCTAGAAATTTATTGCACATTGTTGGGAATGTAACCACTAGCACATGATGGATTACCAAATTCAAAAAGTAATGCCCCACTGGAGAAAATTACATATCTAGTACTATCATTCTAAAAGTTTCGTGACCATGAGTGCAGAAATTTGCCAAGTTCCACAAGAGAGCAAAATCCTGGCTGCCATCTCAGATTTACATGTTCTGAGGAGTTAAATATCTGGAGTGAGTTTTAATGATTCAATTTCAAGATAAAGATCTATTGGAAGACTACAGAGGGCAGTGTGGGACAGTCTTAAATGATCTCAGTGCCAAACATTAAATGCTGTGATTTACTGTAGCCTTTTGTTGCCCTTACTCCATCTGGCTCCCTCTGCAAGAGCATTTCTTCTACCTTTATTCTGTCTCTTCCATTCCATTTTCACTTGTCCTACACTCAAGGCAAACTCTAAGTGGAGGTGCGGGGCCTGGAACAAGTCACCTATATGGTGGGCCCTCTCAACATTTTTTATACAAGAAATATCTGTTTACAGGAACTTCAAGGACAACTACTGGCTGCAGGTTAAATATTGATTAATGCCCAGTTGTAAAATTATAATCTTATATTGTAGCTTTTTTATAATTATAATGAAAGAGAACACTTTAACCTGGCTGGGCACTCATACCTGGATCTCAAAGTCACAGTGTTGTTTTAGGCCCATTTCACAAGCCAAATACACAGGAAAGGGTTGGAACTTAACTTCATTTACAAGTTTACTTTCTATCATAGAGTATGAATAAAGACATTGTCTGGCTAGCAACTGGTCCCTGCCCAGGAAACATTCACATGCTTAAATCACCCCTGCAAGCAGAATATATTTTTCAAAATCAAACTGCCACCATCTAGGACTCAAAAACTGTAGCACCCTTCAGGCATCTATTGCAAAACTCCTTGGCTGTGTCTACACTGGCATGAATTTCCGGAAATGCTTAAAACGGAATACTATTCCGTTTTCAGTTTTTCCGGAAAAGGAGCGTCTACATTGGCAGGCTGCTTTTCCGGAAAAGCCCTTTTTCCGGAAAAGCGTCTGTGGCCAATGTAGACGCGCTTTCAAGTAGGAATAAGAGATCCTCCGGAAAAGGGCTTTATTCCGGAGGATTGCGCCAGTCTAGACGCTTTTTTCCGGCTTTTCCCCAAGCCGGAAAAAAAGCGGCGGACATGTTTATTTAAATCCGCGGGGGATATTTAAATCCCCCGCGGATTTCCCTATTCTGAGTTACCTGCTTTGCATGACTATTCCGTTTTATGGGGCCAGTGTAGACGTAGCCTCTATGTTTAACAGAACAGAAAGAAACAGGTTTGGAGATTTGGGGAGCAAACTAACTCAGGGGTCCCTTGTTGCCCAGACCTGGAAGAGCAAGGACAGACCATGTCAGGCTGCTGGAATGGCATTAGGATCCTGCAGCAGTTAATTGCTGCTCAAGGCTGGGGGAACTATTGGAAAAAGAAATAAATGCAGTGGGGGGGGAGGGGAAGGGGAGTGTTGGGGAGGCTCGGGATTGAGCCTGCTGACAGCATCATCCCCTTCTACATTCCTCTGAAGTGTTGGGCCTGGGGTGGATGCTCCACTTTGTCTTATGGACAGGATGGCTCTGTCAACACTCCATACTAGCTATAGATCATTCTTGAGGAGTTTTTGTTCAATTGTTTCTCCTTTATCTGTATATGTCCTCCCAGAGATACTATTGAGACAGCTAGGTGCTTTCATGTGCCCACTGCCTGTCATTTACAAACTCAAGAAATCTGAGGAATTAGCATTATATGGAATATGTTTGCCAGTAGTGGCCTAGGCATTGACATACCTGACATAAATAACATACATGACATAAATGTGCTCGCTCGATAACATAATATTCTCTATTTTACCTACTATCAATTGATACTCATTAAATGTCATAATGAGCATATACTTGGGAAATCTGCATTTGATGTGTTGAGAAATATAGCAAATAAAATGAGTTTGTCATTTTAACTAAGAATTTAACATGTTATAATTTATTTTCCAGCTCCCAGTATTGAATAATAAAGTTAATACTTGGACTTTGAAAACACCTGCTTCACATACTATGGTTATGATTCAAAGCCCAGAGAAGTCAACATAAAAGCTCCCAACTGAGGGCTTTCTTACAGGTCTCAAGTAACTCTGTGCTCTAATTAAAAACAGTATCAGGGTAGGCATTCAGAACAATGATGAATACACACAGCTTCAATTAGCTTAGCTGTTATATTAAGGACTAATAGCATTTTATATTTTTCAATAGGAAGCTATTACAATTCATTGTCAATGGGATAAAAACTAAAAATTCTCTAATAAATACCTTTTATTAAAGAATGATTGCGGCTTAAAGGAGCATTTCCTTGGGTTCAGGAAAGCGTGCTTAAAATAGCATTACATATATACATACATATAAACATACATTTATACACACACACATACACACACACACACACACACTGATATGAAAAATTCATCTTGACAACATTGCATGTTCTCATTTAGATTAACTTTCGTTGCTAACTGTAGTTTTGTTCCTCTTTATCTAAAATATTCTGGTCAGAGAGCAATTTTAAACCTCTGACTTAGGCTCTCAATTACAGGGAAATATATTTTGATAGCTGTACTTCTGATCTGATACTCTTTGGTTTCTTTAGTTTAAAACACCCAGGCCTTTAAGACCACATATTGTGTTGTGACACTGAATAGACAGTCTAAAAGAAAGTATAACATGTACATTATTTTAGAGTACAAATTATCTTCTCCAATGATGCTATTATAATCACCTTGATTAACCCTTGAATGTCCAAAAAGCATATTCAATTTCTCTAGGGAAATACATGTATTTTATAAAGAAAGTCATTTAGTTCCTACCTTGGAAACTAAATCAATATTAAATCTCCTGCCTTCTATAACAATTTGTGTGTAAGTAATTTTCTTTGGCTCCAAGGCAGCAGTTTCTGCTGTTGATGCATTTTCCATTTTTCCTTTTTCCAAAGCAGACTCGTCAGAAGTTGCATCACAGAGGTTCTCACTCTCAGAGGTCATTTCTGCATCACTCCTTTCCGTCGCACTCTCTGGATCATTACACGTAATACTTTCAGGGGATACTTCACAGCTCTCAGGTCCTAGTGACTGGCTTTCCACAGGCTGGCACTCTTTTTCAGACCCTTGAGTAGCCTCACCATTATCAGAGACTCCAAAGGCAGACAGTTTTCGCAATGCACCAGCTTCATTAACATCTTCAGCTAAATCCTGACTGATGAAAATACAAAGAGAGTCTTTAAAACAGTCTTAAAACTGATCTTATTTCAAGCAACATTATGAGTTACTGCAAGAAATGGAAAACATCAGCACTCCTGTCATGAAAGCATTTAGATCCATCTGTCTAGTCCAAATCAGGTATCTAATTTGGATCAGCTCAACTACGCTGGTTCTCTTAGCTGTTGAAAAGTCTCAGCCATTAAGTCACTGAAGATATTTGAAAACCAAGAAATTTAAGACAAAGGGACTGGTCTCAGAATAATGTCTACTTGATTTTGAGTAAGAGCATTACGACCATGATTCTATCAAGTCTTCAGAAATAGAATTATGAAATGAAGTTCTGGCACATAAGAGCTTTCAGTATATGTTTTGGCCTAAATCGTGCCATCTGACCTAAGTAAACCAACCCTTATTCCAGAACTGAATCTCACTGAAGACCCATATGGGTAACATTTCAGATTCAGTATTCAATATACAAGCAATTTTATAAATAATGTATCAATAAAACCTTAATATAAATGATTAACGAATAGTTAATCAATTGTCATATTCTCATGGAATCCAATAAGTAACTTACACATTTACCATTTTTGATGTGCTCATACCCATCTATAATACATACTACTTGTGTTCATAACACACTTACAATATCTATTAATCATTTATTAACCTTTTATTAACCATGTGACACACAAATAACCATGTAATTTTCACAATCTATAGTCTGTAAACTCATTGGGGCCGAAGATTAAGTTCTACTCTTTCTTTGTACCAGTGTTATGCATACCTTGGACCTCTGTGTTTCCTACAAAATATGGCTCACCTCCACCCTTGCTTGGTTCTCCTGAAGGGCCATCCCTTGTCCAAGCAAGCAGAGAGCCTCTTTCTCCTAGCCTCCCTACTTTCAACAGTGGGCTATTGCTGTCATTAGGTTAACCCATCAAGCCCTTGGCCCCTGCTACAAGCTCATTCTGCTCACTATTCCTTCTTGGGTTGAGGATATGGTGGAACCTAGAAATATGTTTGCCAACTATCTCATCACATAAACCTAAACACTTTTGCCCTGCCCCCTGCTCTCCCCTTCCCTGAGGCCTAGCTCCTGTTCACTCCATCCTCCCTCCCTCGTTTGCTCTCCCCTATTCTCACTCACTTTCACTGGAATGAGGCAAGGGGTTGGGGTCTGGGCTCTGGGCCCAGGCTGAGAGGTTCAGAGTTCTGATCTGAGTCTGGAGACGGGAGTTAAGGTGCAGGAGGGGATATGAGGTACAGACTCTGGGAGGCATTTTGGGTACAGGAAGAGCTCATGCCTGGGGCATGGAATTTGGTGCATCTACACCGGGGTGGGCAAAAGCCACTCAGAGGGTTGCATCTGGCCCACCTTAGGCTTTGATCCAGCCCTTGAGACAATTATAGGCCCCGCCCCCCTAATTACAGGCCCTGCAGGGTTGGGGTGCAGGTGTCAGAAGAGGGCTCAGGGTTGTGGCAGGAATGTGGGAGAGGGTGCAGGGTGCTGTAGGGGTATGTGGGGAAGGCTCCAAGATGGGCTCAAGGCTGGGGCAGAAGGTTGAGGAATTGAGGTGTTAGAAGGGGTTAGGGCTCCAGCTGGGTGGTGCTTAACTTGGATGGCACCGTTAGTGGGGCAGTGAGGCTAAGCAGGCTCCCTACCTGCCTTGGACCCATGCCACTCCTAGAAGCAGCCTGCTAGTCCCTGTGGATGGCACATGCAGCCCCTGCCAGCAGGCATCACGCCTGTAGCTCCTGTTGGCCACACTTTCCAGCCAACAGGAATCATGGAATCAGCTCTCGGAATAGAGGCAATATGAGGAACTCCCTTGCCCATACGCCGGGATCAGCAGGGACATACTGGACAGTTCAGGGAGCCGTGCAAGGCCAGGGTGGATAGGGAACCTGCCTTAGCACTGCTGTATGGCTAGACTTTTAGTGGTTTAAAATCTCCCAGATTGGCTTCAGTAGGCCTCAGAAATTAAGCCTGATTCTCCCTGAGAAACCAGGAGGGTTGGTAACCTTACCTAAAAACAGAATAGGAAAGATACAGAGAACACCAGTGCGCAGCAATGGGAAGATTGCTAGCAGAGAAAAGGCACAACTAGATAGGACACACAGATATAAAATTCCCAGTTTGTCCTTACCTCTCATTGGCCATAGATTTTTCCTCCTCAATATCTCCTGAATATCATCCCAAAAATTAGACACTCCGGTGATATTAACATAGGCTATGCCCTGTTTCCTCAATTATTAAAAGCTTCATTTTTTTAAAAAAAAGCAATATAATTCACTTATGAAGCAAATACAAACATAGAATCTAAGTTTAAAGGCATTCTGATGTATTTAATAATCAAGAAATCTCTCTATAAAACAGCTTTTCTTATGAGATGACAGAGTTAAGTCATCACTTCACTCTGTGTCCCACCTGCCTCCTCCCTCTCTCCCCCCTCAAGCCTGACCTTGCTGCTTCCCCTCGCCACTTACAATTGGTATTTTAAACCAAACCCCTACTCCCCTTCCTCTGCCCCCATGCCACCCCACCCGACTTTCAATGCCAAGAAACATGGCACAGTAGCCAGCAGACCCCACATGGCAGTTGTGACAGCACAGGGGCAAGAGGGTGCTAGGGACAGCATCCTATGGATGGATGCTAGGAGAAGGGCTCCCTGCTGGGCTTATGTGCCAGCAGCCGGTTCTTGGGAGCTCCCCCATTGCCAGGCTCTTGGAGAGCCAGAGCGCGGTGACCAACCACCCGGAGTCCAGCTGCCCCCACAGAGACTCACCCCCATCTCCAGAGGCTGCACTTATCACAGCTACTGACGGGTGGATGGGCAGCCCTGGGATCTGTGGGCAGGGCTGGGGCAGTGAGCAGCGCACATGGGACTGCACGAGGGCGAGGTTAGGACAGCAGCCCCCTTCGCTGCAGCTTTCCCCACCTCAGCAGGCTGCAGTCCTACCTGTGCCTCTCTATGCCCCATGAAAGGTAGGCAGGCACCCCACGCCTCCCCAGCTGCCAGAGTTAGAGTTGGGCCTGGTGCACACTGCGGCCGGGGGAGAGGGAAGTTAGAACTAGGAGGGAGAGAAGGGGCCCAGGCTGGTGGGGGAGGGGGAAGAGGTTGGAGAAGGGGCCTGGGCTGGAGGGGGGGAAGGAGAAGGGACCCGGGCTGGCATTGCTGCAGCCGGACCCTCCCCAGTGACCGGGGGAGGAGAGGGCTAAGTGCACAAAGCAGGAGGCACAGCCCCCTAGTAAACTTAAACAAAATAACAAAAGCAAGTCTTTCGTGCAGTTCTGATTAATCCATAATATGCCTGCCAGAAAGGGAAACCTCTGTTCTCTGACCAGGTTGCCTAAGTATCAAGTATTTTGCTTAGTCTTCCTTATTCTTATAATAAATATATTCTTTAAAATTTCCCTTATAGAGCAGAACTCCACTTTTAATCTGATCTGTGTTTTTTATCTTGGACTTCAATGAAGTCTACCTCAGCAACTAGTACTTTTGAACTTGGACTTTTAGTTTATGCTACCAACAGAGATGAATTAAATTAATGTCATTATAAGTGAAAGAAATTCAGCAACAATTTTGTATTATCTTTTTATCTTTCTACCACAAGACATTAAGGCACTGAATAAACATTTTAAGCTCCGCTGAAAACTAATGAACTGTGATTTTAAAGGTGATTGAGAAAGGTACAGTTTATAATCCCGCTGACTATCAATATATATGAAATTCCCCAAACGTCAAAGAGTATTCTGCACAAATTGCCAAAATAGAACAGAGATGGGGCACTTTGTCAAAGTCAGCATAGGAAGAAAAAGAAAAGTTACTCACTTCGTGCAGTAACAGAGGTTCTTCAAGATGGTTTTCCCTGTGGGTGCTGCACCTTAGGTCTTGCAGCGCCGTTGCGCATCTGCACAGAGATTTTCAGTAGCAGTGTCTTTCAGTGTGTCACATATGCATGGCAGACAGCACGCACAGTGCTGCTACCATGCATGCACAGCAACTGTCCCTTGCCCCAGAAGGACAAGAACAACTCCGAAGCAGAGGGGAGGAAGGGCGGGTGGTAGAGCACCCACAGGGACAACCATCTCAAAGAATCTCCGTTACTGCACGAAGTGAGTAACTTCCCTTTTTTCTTCGAAGACTGTTCCTGTGGGTGCTCCACCTTAGGTGACTATATAACAGTACCCATGTGAGGAGGCGGGTGCTTCAGTTAATAATCATGTTGAAACTCTGGTGAAGGCTGTTAGTCCAAGTTCCGTGCCCCATTTTGAGGAAGTGTCCAGGGCATCATGTCTGGCAAAAGTGTGTACAGAAGACCGTGTTGCGGCCCTGCAAATGTCCGTCAGATTAATGCTGCTAAGGTAGGCCGCAGAGGTTGCTATGGCCCTTGTGGAATGCACTCACAATTGCAGCAGAGGCTGTTGGTTATAACTAGTGTAAGCCAGGCAGATACAGTCTATGATCCACTTGGAAAGTCTCTGTGTAGAGATTTGCGCGCCCAATGACCTTTTAGCGATGGAGATGAAAAGTCTGTTTGGTTTACAAACTGCCTTTGTTCCTTCTAGGTAAAAGGTCAGAGAGCGGCGCACATCGAGAAAGTGCCATTTAGCTTCTACAGCAGTGGTATGCGGCTTTGGACAGAAGACCCATAGCACAAGTGGTTCGTTGCAATACCAGGGAGTAAAGACTTTAGGTAAGAACTTTGAATATGTTTGGAGGACCACCCTGTCCTTATGAAAAATGGTGAAGGGTGGGTCGGCCATGAATGTCCCAATTTCATTTACTCTTAACTGAGGTAAGTGAAACTAGCGTTACGACTTTCATTGAAAGATGCATCATTGAACACATGGCCAAGTTAGAGCTTGTAGCACAAGGTTTAAGCCCCATGCTATGACTGGTGCTGTAAGCGGCAGAAATGTGTTCTGGATGTCCTTTAGGAAACATTCGGTTGTGGGAAGGACGAAAACCAATTTGTCCTCGATGGGAT